TAAAAGGGGGATTCACAAAATTGAAAAAAATATATCAAAAGGGTTGCCTTTTTGGGTGTTGTCCAAAGTCTTAAAGTAAATAAGTTACTATAGTAATTAGATGCATTAACAGGCTACTAGAAATACATAGAGTCACATATTCAAATTGGTATATTCAAATTGTTCATATTCAAATTAAAGTTCTCACATCTCCCATATGTGTCTTGGGAACATTATAGAAAAATTCTTATATCATTTTGAGAAATGTTTGAATTTTATGACCAGAATCCCCCTTAAATCAATAAAAATATCTTCAGTAACTGTGCTTTCATTGAAAAAATCCAGTTCTTATAAATGAAAGAAACCTGAATATAGCAAATGTGGAGTATTGCATTGTTTACTTTTATAGACATACCTGCAAWATGATGTAAAAAAATTAACTAGCTAAACCTTGCAACCTGTAATTACAAATACTAATGAAGAAAGAGCAAAATAACAAGGTTATATTAACAATAGCATATTCCTTTAGACAGTTAATAAATTAATGATTTATCGTCAGTATTGTGTTTTGTTTTCTTTTTCTGAATCTCATGTGATACAACATTGTCAGTCATAATGACATATTTACGTGCAAGTTAAAAAACAAAAAAAACAAACAATCAAATTGCTGGTATTGCACATTGTCCATGTGCTTGGGACATTTTAATAATTAGCACCAGGTAGTGTTACAGTAAATTATATGATCTTGGCATATATCTATTTACAATGCATAGTAATATCAAGCAGTAAYATATCTCAATTGAAGATATACGATTTTTGCTTACAAACTCTGATAAGAATCACAATGAATAAGTGTAAGTGATAGATTTATAAAATGTGCTATCAGTAGAAAGTGTTCAAGAAAAGGTGTGGATTTAATGTCACACACATATAAACGGATACTAGTATATTATATTTTATGTATATCTACAAGTATAATCTGAAAAACAATGTACAGGCATAAAGGTTAAAATGAGCCCCAGCAGACACCTGGCATAATGACTATGCACAGAAATACAGGTACAATCTGTACCCAAGTAAGTCTGTTGTCTACAGGCAGTGTTTATGATAATGTAAAAGGTTAGAATGAGCCCCAGCAGACACCTGGCATAATGACTATGCACAGAAATACAGGTACAATCTGTACCCAAGTAAGTCTGTTGTCTACAGGCAGTGTTTATGATAATGTAAAAGGTTA